AATGCTTTTATGGGTTTGGTTGTGGGAAGAGCTCTTGAGTGGGTGGTCGACGAAACGCCAGAGGGAAAACTCGTCGACCAAAACTATATTGTAATGATTGTCATGGGTGTTCTTGTCACTGGTTTCATTACAGACATGCTCGGTTTAACTATGGGAATGGGACCCATTTTGCTAGGGTTCATAGTCCCTCAAGGTCCACCTTTGGGGTCGACGCTGGCTATCAGGAGCGAGACTTTCATCCATGAGTTCTTGATGCCTTTTTCCTTTGGTTTGGTTGGACTTAAATTCAATGTCAATCTTCTCACCAATGATATTTGGGAACAAAAGCTCTCTCCTCTTGTCTACATGACAGTGGTTGGATTCATCTCAAAGTTTATCGCGGTCGTTTCAGCTGCTGTCTTCTTTAAAATCCCGACCAGAGACAGCCTCACGCTTGGTCTCATGTTGAACTTGAGAGGCCAGATCGATATGTTGCTCTACTTGCATTGGATTGACAAACGTATGATCGGTTTACCCGGTTTTACTGTCTTGGTTTTGCATGCCCTTTTGGTTACCGGAATCGCAACACCGCTTATTAGCTTCCTTTACGATCCAGATCGTCCTTACAGGATCAGCAACTACCGTACCATACAACACACTCCTCCCTCCACTGAGATAGGACTTGTCCTTGCCGTCTCCGACCACGAAGCCTTGTCCGGTTTGTTCACCTTCCTCGACCTTGCTAACCCCACTACAACTAGCCCCTTTTGTATTTACGCTGTGCAGTTAGTGGAACTTATGGGGAGAGCCTCGCCAGTTTTTATCGACCATGAGGAAGAGGACGATGAGGACGACGAAGAAGAAGATGAAGAAGAAGAAGATGAACATGGCTGGAGAAAGCGAGTTGATCAAGTGCAAAGCGCCTTTAAGTTGTACCAGGAGAGAAGATCCGAATGTGTAACGCTGCGTGCCTACACTGCTCATGCTCCAACGCGTCTAATGTACCATAACATTTGCGAGCTTGCCTTGGCTCACGAAACCGCTTTCATCCTCTTACCTTATAAACACGAACGTCTTGACGACGATGCACCAACGGAGCTACGTAACTCCGGCATGTTATCCGTGAATACGGATGTCTTGGCTCACACGCCATGCTCTGTTTGTATCTATTACGACAAGGGACGGCGTAGAAACAACGCCACGGTACGGTCCTCAATAAACCAAGAACCGTACCGGTTTGTTGTTCTGTTCCTAGGAGGAGCTGATAACAGAGAAGCTCTGCATCTAGCCGACAGGATGACGGTGAATCCAGACATAACCATGACTGTGATTAGGTTTTTATCGTTCAACCACGAAGGAGAGGACGAGAGGGAGAAGAAGCTGGACGACGGGGTGGTGACGTGGTTTTGGGTGAAGAATGAAAACAAGGAGAGGGTTAGTTACAAGGAGGTTGTGGTGAAGAACGGTGCGGAGACGTTGGCTGCGATACAAGCGTTGAATGTGAACGACTATGATCTGTGGATAACGGGGAAGAGAGAAGGTATTAATCCGAAGATTATAGAAGGGCTTGCGGAGTGGAGCGAGAATCATCAGCTTGGGGTTATTGGAGACACTGTGGCTGGGAGTGTGTTTGCCTCGGAAGGTTCGGTGTTGGTAGTGCAGCAACAGGTGAGGAACCAGAAGGGTGGTTTTTTCTTGAATGGCAAGTTTGATTACAAGCGGTTAGTGTCTTCCCTAGTGTCTTATTGGTCTTGTAATAATTGTTAGTTAGGACAATTGCTTAATTGTTTAGGTTTTGTTTGTTTAAAACATTACAACTTCTTTGAGGTAATTTTAAAGTTAAACCTATTATTTAGCTTATCTTACTAGGTGATTTCTCGTGCTCATGCACGGGTATCAATAATCATAAAAGTAAAATTTTATAATAATTGATTGATATTTAGTTTTAGTTTTGAATAAATTTGTATGTATAATTTATATTAAGAAATATTATATTATTCTATACATATGACTTTGGATATATTATTGTCGGTTTAATTATTTTTTGGATCAATAGTCGGTATGGTTATCAGTTTGGTATATTGGAAAATATCTATTTTTCCAATTTAGCTATAATATTTTTATTTTAAATATAATAAAACGTCGATTAATTTCGTATTTTCATTTCGGTTGGTTGTTGTATTAGATATGTAAATATATTCTTAGATATGTAAATATATTATAGTTAAATTATGTATAACTTACTATATATTGTGCTTAAAATGAAATAAATAATAAGTTGAAGTGTTTGATTCAAAATTACATAAATGAATATAACGATAATATTTTGAAGTCTCATGCATATATATAAATTCTACAAAAGAATTAAATTGTAATTGGTTAATATTTTCTTTTTCTTTTTAATATGCTTTGAGTCAACCTCTAATTTATATGTATAAAATTAAATAGATAATTATTATTATTATTATTATTATTATTATTATTATTATTATTATTATTATTATTATTATTATTATTATTATTATTATTATTATTATTATTATCACTATAATTATAAAATCATATGTTCTGATTGTAGTTAGATGTTTAATTTAGATATAAGTTAGATTAGTCGAGTCATTCATTTTGTGAGTATATTGAGTTAAATATATTTTTAAATTAAAACTGAAGTATAATTACTTTTTATTTTAGTTAAGTCAAATCAAATTAGTTTTACTTACTTAAATATACATGTATTTTCATAATATTTATTTACTCTTTATTTTAGTTAAGTCAAATTAGTTTTATATATCGCTTAAATATACATGTATTTTCATAATATTTATCAAATTATATGTTGATTTCTAAAAAAAATTAGAAAATAAAGTGTAACTGATAAATTTTTGAATGCTCATGAACATATATATATTTTTATTATTTTGAAAATATATTTTATGTTATTTAAAATATATATTAATGTGGGTATTACTATTTTGTGAACTTTCCTTTTTAATAAAGTCATATTATATACATATATTTTCGTTTTTAAATTTGTTTTAAAATTTTAGAAATATTTCCTTTTTATTTTATATGTTATTTGGAAAAAAGATAAAAAGTAAACTAAATAAAAAATTAATAATAATCTTAAAATCTAACAATTCATTAAGGATATATATGTAATCAACCATCGCGAGAATTAACGTGAGCGCGACACGTAGGAAACTGACTTCTCAAATAATATTATAGAGATTCTTAACTCAATCCTTAATAAAATATTTCCTTAAATAATTATTCAATAATAACCATAATTTTTTTTTTTCATATCTGTTTTGATATTTCCAATCGAATATTTCTTTGTCTCCATTATATCACTCAACCAATATATTAATATATAACTATATATATATTATACTTTCATTATAAAATAAATTATATTATATATCTTCATTTATGTTAATTATTTGCAGATAATTCGTTAACCTACATCTATTAATATTGATACTACCAATACTATTAACCGATATTATTTCAATATTATGAAATTGACCAATTATACATTTTTATTATCCATATTTATTGTACGAAAAATTTCAAACTATAGGTGGGCGTTCGAAAGCTATTCACGTTAGGTTCGAGTTTATTTAGGTTTCAATTTTTTGAAATTAAAATTTTCATCTCCATTTGAATATTTATAAATTATGATTCAGGTTCATTTCAGATCTTTGCGGGGTTGGCTTCGGATAACCAATTTAATATCTTCACCGCACATATATCTATAATAAATTTCTGAAAATATATAGATACAAAATATAACTTTAATCGTGTTGTTTACTCACATAAAATAATAAGTATAGATAAACTTTAAACTATATGAAACTAACAATATAAAATATATATAGTTTGTTTAGCCAAAATAAAATTTGCGCGGATCATGATTTAGTTTAAATTAAAAATCAAGTTGTACAAATGTACCTATGATATGTATTTTTGGGATGTTTTTGCTTCTTTTTATAAAGGAAAAAAAAATATCCAAGTTCATATATGAACTCATAAACTCCAATGTTGAGGTAGCTTAATTTTGGTAACCAGTTTTCATTTTACTTGGCTATTACTTATTTACTAATAACGAAAAATGATTTTTTATGAATTTTTTTCAGAAGAAATTTTTATCTCACTTATATTTTTAGAAGTACTAAAATTAAAGAAAATAATGAAATTTAACTAAAGTATTAGATTAATTAATTTGTGTACATTAAGACTTTTTGGCACTAGAAATTCATGAATACATTTTTAGAAAATTTCTAGTGCCAAAAAGTCTTAAAAGTACACAAAACTATGTCAAACTTTATATATTGTTTTATATATAAATTATTATAATATAATAATCCTCTAAACATTATTTGCAAGTGATATGTATATATGTCATCATCACATTCATTTTCAACAAAAAAATATGACATGAATTTTGAAAAATATGATATGGTATCAATCTAGCTGTGATACATACACCTTTTCTTAGAAAAAAATTATATTTTTGAAAAGATTCTTTAAATATGTTAATAACGAATAATTTTTATATAATCATTAAGAGTAAAATTTCTACATATTTAAAAATATGTAAACTTTCTGCATACTTAAAATATATAAACTTAGTGTCATATTTTTTTCTTGAGAATTTACATATCACAGATTCACAATTAAAAAGATATCATAATATATTTTTAATAAGGCATGTTATATTTTGTTTCTTGAGAATTAATGTGATGGTTAAAACAAATACGCAAATTACTTTGCAAATAATCTTTAGGATACTAGTATACCGGTTCTTAATTAGAATTGAAATAAAATCCAGTATGATCAAATTGATTATTAATTACATCAGCTCACGTGTTAGATCCTTTCGTGAAATTTCATTTGGTTCCCACCGACACCGATTCTGATCAAACCTGATCTATTTTATTTCTGGAATTTCAAAAAAAATACATCGAGTCTCCACTTGGATTACAAGCTCACGTTACTAAGCTTGAGGGTAGGAACTTGTGACCTTTACTTATATATAGACCAAGCCAAAACTCGTTTTTTCCTATGTAGGACTTGTGGTAAAGTAACTATTTATTATTTTACTTTGAAATTGGTAAATCACAAGGCCCAACGGGCCGTTATAGAGTGAATCAGACTATTTCTGACCTGAAAGAGTCACCGTCGTCAATTTCAACGCGAATACGCCGGATACCATTCTACCGCCACCGCATTTCAACCGTCGCCAGTACACTGAATCGTCTTTTAGCAAGATGGAGGATGACATGGCGAGCCGTCGAGTGTCGAGTCGTACTCGTAAGGTTGCTTCGAAGATGGCGGCTGCTCTTACAAGCACCGACAATCGAACCCAGGTGAGTAGTTTTGATTTCAAAAATCTCATTTTGATTTCGCGTTGCCAACGAAACTTCATTTGTCATTTCGAATGGTTACTTAATCCTAGGCTGCTATAGCTCGTCTAGAGGCTTTAGAGAACGACAATGGAGCCGTCGAGGTGGTTGATTTGAACGATGATGAAGAAGCTTCTCTCGACGAAGATGATGACCTCGGTGATTAATCTTAAGCTACTCTATGTGAGGTGTAGTTCTTCTAGTTTAACCATTTGTTGCAGGTTACGTGCAGAAGAAGCAACACAAGGGATCAAAGCGTAAAACTCGACAAGCAAAAGCTTTGGAGGCTCGTAAAGCTCCCAAGTCCTTCACTGAGCTCTTGCAAGAGGTAATGTAATCAACTCTTTGTTACCGTCTCTGCAGCTGAGCCCAAGCTGATATGATTCTCTTTCAGGCTAATTTGGAGTCTTTACCGTCGCATGTGCCCACTTACTTGAAAGCAGCCGTGGGACCTCCGAGTTCGTCTTCACGCCGCCATTTTTGCACGGTCTGTGGATACATTGCAAGCTACAGTTGCTGCTTATGTGGGATGCGTTTTTGTTCTATTCGTTGCCAAAACATTCACAAGGATACTCGTTGTCAGAAGTTTGTTGCATAGGAATAAATGTGAAACATTCTTTTTTTTTCAAAAATTGTACTGAAACATCACCGCATCAACGTGTGTTCTAATCATGAATGTGTTTCTCAGAATGAAATAGCCAAAGAAAAGAGTACCGACAATACTCTCTAACGTGTTCTTATGATTAAGAGAATCAAACGTGGGACATTTGTTGTTTGAGCTTTTCCAGTAGCTTTCTCTTAGATTCACAGATTTGAAGAAACTCACGGAGGAGTTTCTGTTGCGCCATGACTGTTTTACGTGCTGAATCTGCCTTGCTCCATGTTTTCAGTGATTCAAAGATGCGACTTCCAACTTCTGACTCTTCGCTGGATGCGATGAAACTCTCAAGAACCCCAAGCACCTGTCCTGGTCCACCAGCGTTTTCATTTCTCTTCAGAGTTGAGAGAAATCTCTCCACCTGGTCATCTTCTGGGTTGTTGATTTGATTCAGTAGCCAGTTAGAAACTTCTTGTACTGTGCTGGATAATGAATGTATAGAATCTTTGATTGCTTGAGACATCGGGGAGGAAGGTAAATGATCCGAGTGTTGAGCTTTCTTCTTCTTTTTCCCAGAAGGGAGGGACGAGCGAGTGCAAGCCTGGAATATAAGGCTGTGCCACGCCAACGGTTCAGAGATGATCTGAACCAAGACCTGGACATCAGAATAGCAAGAACTCATGTCTGAAGATCCCATTGATTTGATTCTGTCCAGAATAAGCCTCTCAAATAGCAAGTTCAACACGTGCCAATGCTCTTGGGAACTCAGGCTCCAAGCATTCCAAAACACCGCAAAATTCAACCAGTCGACCAGATCCGAGCCAAGACTCTACAGAAATTTCTCATAAGGTTAGTAACTGTAAGACGAGATGACAAGGAGTAGAAAAAGCTAACCTCGGAAGTCCTTGCACCCTGAGAGATCTCTGTGATCATCTCTACAGCGTCACTGAGAGAAGATCCCAACGTTTTGGTGTACTCCTCCAGCAAAGACTTAAGCTCTCCGCAGGTTTTGAGGTCAGCTCCAGACCCATTGGTTTCAACACTCTCCTTTAATGCTGTTGCCGAACATTGAATAGAGAGATATATCATTCGGGGTAGAAGGGATTTTCTCTGGATGGCTCGTTTCACGTTTTCTTCACGAACTTTGTTCTATAGATATGCAACAACAAACATTATCAGATTGCATCAGTTCCCAAGTGCAAGAGAATATGTATTGATTAATATATACAAACGTACCACATTCTCTTTAGGACAGTAAGAAAAATCTTCAAATGAACCTACAGAGGTTGTTGATTGATATCAAGAATAACGCCACATTACCACAATAATAAACATCTAATATTGTGAAGGAAATACTGACCCAGTAGATAGTTTTTCTCAGGACAAGGTGTCCACCATGGTCTTGTTTGCATATCTTCATTGAACCTCAGTGTCCTTGACCCCATTTCGTTCGAGAGCTCCACCAGTTGAACTCCAGATTTCATGTTTTCAAGAACGCGCTAGACAACAAGAATACATGCAGAGTTAGATATATTATGAGAGGATCAAAAATAAATGGACATAAGGTAATTTACCGGACATGTATTAGTTACCTCTTCTTCCTCGATGCTGTCTGCATTCTGCCTCAATTGCAATAGAGACGCTTCAACCCTTGCAGCTTCGTACTGGTTTGACTGCTGCAGTCGTTGTTTGAATAGAACAAATTCTATAACCTGAGATCAGGTAATCCAGGTATGTCAAGACAGTAACCGGTTGTACACAGGGAGATGGTAATGGAGATCAATTCAATTTTGTTTACTTTTGAGTAATTTCTGTGGCGGTAAGCAAGGAAGGTAAGGTCTGCGGACTCTTTCAAATGATCATCCATAAACTTGAGATAGTCTTGCAGGACGTTACTTAAGTCAGCCCACATGGGAGATTCCAACATTTGGCGAAGAATATGGTGTGAAACCGTTTCCGTCAAGATGTTCTTCACATCAAGAGCTTTATACCTAACAGGTGGTTCAGTAAAAAGAAGTTGAAGAAGGGTTTTTCTTTTCAAGAAAAAAAAAAACAAGTAAAGCTGAGAGCTATGAATACCGTTCAAATGCAACCGGAAGAGCACCAATATATGAATATATGTGCAACAGCAAGATCTTGTACTGCCAGACATGTCTGTGAAAGAAAAAAGTAATTAACAAGTTGAGACAGTCAGAGCTAAGTTATCTTTTTGGTTACCAAAACTGGCACTGATAGAAACCCAAATCGACATTTTCGTAGCTATAACAATTAGTTACTGACCCTCGGATAGCCAAGCCCAACTCAAGAACCATGATAGCCTCAGCAAGATAGCCAAAATCTCGAGTACGCCAGAATAACTGGAACCAACAGCAAGATTAAGTAATATGTAACAACGGGTTATACAGTATCATGGAAGCATGTAACACAACCAAGTACCTGGACCAACATGTTGCTAATCAAAGATAGAAGTTCTTCCCCAAACATACTTTCTTGAGGATCTAAGTCCTTCGAAAGTGGAAGGTTTTCACAGTATAACTTTGCCAGCTTGACAGCAGAGGCTTCAATCTCTACACATTGGAAGGAAAGATGGAATTGTAAACCGATGCAGAACACATACAGATAAACTAGATTAGAAAACAAGAAACCAACATAGGGGGGCAACAAGAAGCTATGATTGGAAAAATGGAGCACACCAAAACAGAGAGATGCCATACGCACAAAGTGTCACACAGCTTTGAATTTGAAACAGAATCTTCATAACCAGAAAACAAGGAACCTTTTAAGAAAAAAGTATGTGAGCAAGGAGTACATACCGCCAAGAGGAAGCTCAAAAATGTTTCCCGTCAGTTCTTGAACTTTGAGTATGGTTGTTGTTTGACCAAGCACTATGGTTGCTGATGCAGAATCCGAATCAGCATTTTTCACTAACATTCCAACAAATTCTGCCTTTTTATGAGGGGGTAACACTTGTAGGAATGCTTCAATGTCGGAAGCATAGCAAGCTAAATGACCAAATCTGCATGCAAAGCGGTATGCAAGTCAGACTTCGTAAGCATAAGATATCAACCAAAAAGAGTTCATAGAAACATACTTTAGAAAATATTGCAGTAATGATTTTAGTAACTCGCTGTCGTTCTTCTTTCCATATAAGAACTTTCTCTTCTCAATTTCAATTTCTGCCAAGTGTGGACCCCTTAAGTTACTATTCTCAGTATCTCTCTGTAACTTCTGCACCAATTCTGAAGCACTTGATATACGAGAATCAAACTGCATGTTGGAAAAGGAACTGGATTATACATATGCCAGAAATTAGGAAAAAAAATCAAAGGAAACACGAACTAGAACTTTAAGTCTGGCAAGAGGTTAATATAATCACCATTTCTTCGGTAAGGTGAGAAAATTTGCATTCTATGTTTTTTGTTGGATGAATTTGATCAGTATCGTCAAAGTACTTCCACATGCTGTCATCTTCAAACAAACAGCCGAGATACTGTAGGAAACACTCCCAATCATCTGGACTGCCAAGCGAACAAAAATACATCTTAGGATACTGACATGATATGCAGCGGTTTAATATAATCAAAATATCAATCCGGAACCAGTTCTAACCCTAAAAGCACTGAGTTGAAATGCTCAGGCATTGATATCGTACCTCAATTCTAAGATTTTTTTATAGACATCAACAGCAGCAGAATAGTCACGTGCCCTAGCAAGGAGTCTCCCCTGTCAGCTTAAAGTAAGAGAGTTTCTGTGAGCAACTGAGCATACAACAATAGACTCTGTATGATAGTACATATATCCTAAAATCCAAAAAGCATGAGGTTGATATATATTTCCGACCAAAAAAGCCTTGTAATTTACCTGTATCCGTAATTTGTCGACTTCAATCACCAAAAGAGAACCCAAATTTCCAGAAAGGACTTCTAAAGCATCATTGTATTTGGATTGCTGCTCCAGCAAAGAGATATACACCATGAGAGCTGAAAAAGACCAGACATTCATTAGTAGAAGAAAACCTGAAAAAAAATCTGAAATAGTTCCATGACTTGTGCAAGAGAAGAGATTCGTAGAGAATTGAATTCACCTTCTGGCTCATGCATACTATGAGAGGCAATGTGTTTCTTAAGCAAACCCTCAGCCAGGAGCAAGAGCTTCTCCCCACTCTTATCACAGAGAACCTGTAAAAGATTTTCACAGCTATAAGCAACAGAACACCAAACTGCTAAAGAAAAAGAGGATATACGGTTCCCGTACCTGTAACTGGATGCTACAAACTGCCCAAAGTAAGAACCTTTCTTCTCCGGCAAGTTTGTACATTTTGATAGCTGTCTGTCATAAAGCAAGACATAAGAAAAGACATATAGAGACTGATATCAGGACATTCATCACCAAACATATAGACCAACCTGCTGCTGCTTCACAAAAGAATATTCACGAACATAGCAGTTAAAGAGCCCCATCATAAGCTCCAAATTATTAGGAAATCTGCTACAAGCATGAGCGTAACAACCAGTAGCCAAGTCCACTAGTCACATTAAAAGAAAAAACAAAAAAATTAGATATAACCAGTAACTTATACACCAGCTCCCAAACTCTTTATACGCACTTACAGTGATCAAGTCTCTGAAACACAATCTGCAATGTACTGAGAGTCAAATCATCCATCAAAGACGAATCATCCTTATACAAAAGCTCTTTGGCATCCAAACAAACAGTCAGCGCCTCATCCGGCTTCCCCATCCTCTCATGAATCAAAGCCTTAAGCGCCTGTCAAAATGCAACATCACTCCAATCAGATTACGAGAGGGAAAAAAAGTAACAAACGAAACCGATGATCGTATGACAACTTACTAAAGCATAAGGTGACTTTGGATACTTGGAGAGAAGCGAAGTGAGGAGTTTGAGAGCGTTCTTGAACTGACGAGAGTCGATTGCGTCCCAGATTGGTCGAACACGACGCTCCGGGATTCCACCCGCTAACCCGAATTTGGAAGCCATCGGAGAAAGAGTGTGAATGGAGTTGACTGAGATATACAGTTAAAGACGGGATTCGACGACGATCAGTGCGAAAGACCTCTGCGGATTAAGAACCCAAATGAAAAACCTAATCAATCCGTTTGGTTGCGGCGATACTGCTAGTACGGTCAAGGAATTAAAACGATTGGGCTTACACTGGCCCATTAAGAAGCCCATCGGTGAGTCACGTTATTGAGACAGATTCTTCACATCACATGTTACGCATTGGCAATTGTCAAGTGACGAGACTTTAACCCCACTTCACGTGCCATCTCTGTTCTGCTACTGTGCGCACGTTAGTCTTCTCTCTCTTGTAACCACACCTGCGCATCTCAATCTCTCCGTTTTCTTCCCAAAATCGTCAAACCCTAATCGATTTTTTTTTTTGTTTACTCCGGAGAAGAGAAAATGATGGGATCGGAGAATGCCGACGGATTCGAAGAGACGAATCTCAATGCAGCGAAGGAGGAGATGGAGAATCTCGTCCTTAACGGCGACGGAGCCGGCGATTCATCGAACTCTGCTTATCGCAGCGCGATGTCAACGCTCTCCAGCGTTCACGATCCTCTCTCGCCGCTCCCCACCGTTCTAACTCCGGCTGATTCCGATCCACTCACCGCGCCATCGTACATCGAGCCTCCGTCTTACGCCGATGTCATCTTCAGCCCTTTCGATGAGAACTCGGACAGTGAGATCAACGGCGGCGAATCCCCAGATTCACTATCGAGATCTCCTTCTTCTTCTTCGTCGACCTCCGATTACATCAAGATCACAGTATCAAACCCTCAGAAAGAGCAGGAGACTTCAAACTCCATCGTGGGAGGGAACACTTACATCACATACCAGATCACGACGAGGACGAATCTCCCTGACTTCGGAGCGTCCGAGTCCAGCGTGCGGAGAAGGTTTAGAGACGTTGTTACATTAGCAGATCGGTTAGCCGAGTCTTACAGAGGCTTCTGCATCCCGCCGAGGCCGGATAAGAGCGTTGTAGAGGGGCAAGTGATGCAGAAGCAGGAGTTTGTGGAGCAGAGGAGAGTTGCGTTGGAGAAGTATTTGCGGAGACTCAGTGCGCATCCTGTTATAAGGAAGAGTGATGAGCTGAAAGTGTTTCTTCAGGTGCAAGGGAAGTTGCCGTTACCGATGAGTACTGATGTGGCGTCTAGGATGTTGGATGGGGCTGTGAAGCTTCCGAAGCAGCTGTTTGGTGAAGGTGGAGGGGCGTCTGCGGTGGCGGTTCATGAGGTGGTTCAGCCTGCTAGGGGAGGGAGGGATTTACTGAGGTTGTTTAAGGAGCTGAGGCAGACTGTTTCTAATGATTGGGTTGGGGTGAAACCAGCTGTTGTTGAGGAAGATAAAGAGTTTTTGGAGAAGAAGGAGAAGATGCTTGATCTTGAGCAACAGATTATCAATGCTTCACAGCAGGTAAAGTCTCATCCTTGTTAGTTGATTTTGTGCGTTATTGTGTTAGTGTGTTGGATGCTGTTTGGAACAGACTCTTTTGTGGATTATATTTGTAGGCAGAGTCTCTTGTGAAGGCACAGCAAGACATGGGAGAAACCATGGGGGAACTGGGTTTAGCATTCATTAAGCTGACGAAGTTCGAGAACGAAGAAGTTGTTTTCAACTCCCAGAGAACTCGTGCTACTGATATGAAGAATTTAGCTACTGCGGCTGTAAAAGCAAGCAGGTTTTATAGGGAGCTGAATTCTCAGACTGTCAAACATTTGGTAAATATCTATCCAGCTACAGAAATGTACAGTTATCTGTTTACTATGAATCAAATGAAATATTGTTTTCTTTTCTTTATCTGAAAAGAATATTGTCTTATTTGAGGATTGGCATGAAATCTCTCATCCTTGTGTGTATCCTCGTTATTTTAGCTTCACTAAGAGATTCTCTTTTCTCTGAATTGTTCATTGCAGGACACACTACATGAGTACCTTGGCATGATGATGGCTGTGCAAGGCGCATTTGCAGATCGATCTAGTGCTTTACTGACAGTGCAGACGCTTCTATCAGATCTGTCTTCGCTGCAAGCAAGAGCTGAAAAGCTAGAGGCTGCATCATCAAAGGTATTTGGTGGTGACAAATCAAGGATCAGGAAAATAGAAGAGTTAAAAGAAACCATCAAGGCCACTGAAGACGCCAAAAATGTTGCCATCAGAGAGTATGAGCGGATCAAGGTATTCAGTAATAACCATTTCATATCACAGCTTGTGCTGATGTACCGATATGTATGAAATGAAGTTTTTGGTCGTGCTGTCTGTAAATTTATATCATTGCAGGAAAACAACCGATCTGAGGTGGAGAGGTTGGATGGAGAAAGGCGTGCAGACTTCATGAACATGATGAAGGGTTTTGTTGTTAACCAGGTACGTTATTCTTATTCCTGGGTCTCTTGGAGTCTAGTGAATGGTGAGTGCTTTGAATGATACTATCGAAGAAGAGGAAGAATGGGTTCATAAAACCTGCTACTAATGGAATAGAGTCGAGTTTCTGAAAGAAATAGTTGGCGTTGTTGTGGTTGCAGGTTGGATACGCAGAGAAAATAAGCAACGTGTGGGCAAAGGCTGCAGAAGAGACGAGCCAATACGATAGAGAGAACCAGAGGAGCTAACGAACACAGAAAAAGAAAGAGTGAATGATGTTCATTTTGGCATGATCATACCAATTACATGTTTGACACAGAATCACAATACGTGATAAGCTAATAATGGGTGTCAACAAATGTATTTTCTTGTTTTGTTTTGTTTATTTGTTGTATCTATCTGATAGAGTTCAGTAAACGTTTGTTTTTTTAGTTGCTGTAAATTGTTTCTCCATAGCGTTATTCACCCTCATGTGTGACAGGCTCCATGTCGACTGCGATTTCGTTTGTATTGATGAGACATGCATTAAACATAAATTTCAGCACTGAGTAGACACCTCTATGCTCTAAAATTATGAGTATTTCATTTTTGGTTGAATTTAGTTGAAATATCTGGATTTTAAAGAGTTTGATGGAGGTTTTGAAGAGAGATTTTGTAGATTTTTGAAATGAAAACAAAAATAGAATTGGTGTTAGAATTTGAAGGATTACAATTATGCACAGAACAGTCAGAAGTCAGTTCTCTTTCAGATGATTGTGTTGGAACTGGATTATAATAATAGCTATATGCTACTATGCTAGTAAGGTCTCTTCATCTAGTATTTGTTTATGTGCACAGAAACAAATGTGTGGATTATGGCAAGAAAATTAACTAGTTGAATGGAATTCTTAGTCAAATCAGCAGTAGCAACGTTGATTGAAGATCACTTTACCAACTTCGGCTTTGTAAACTGTTCGGAGAATTACTTGTCTCTATATTGGAGCAAATTGAAATACATGTTCGATTGAAGGTTGCAATAGCCATGTTTACAAGTTTGAATAGGTTGCATAAGGCATTATTCTCATGTTTGGTCACAGTTGATAGACAGTCCCATTGTTATGTTCACATAGTTAAAGAGAAGTTAGTTCCAGAGCATTCATCATGAACCAATGTATCCATTGCAGCCATTGTTAGTATGTTTTTCGAAAGGGCCAAGAGGTTTTGAACAAAGAAAAGACATGTGGTGCCTTGGTCTGCATTTTGCCGAAGAAAGTGTCTGGCGAGGTCATTGTATAGCCCCAAGGAAAACTTATGTCTTGCTAGTGCTATTGAGTTGCTCACAGAAGCCATCCTAGATACATCTTGTGGTGTTGTGTTAAAGGAAAGACAAAAGAAATTACTAGCTAAATTCGGTTTCACGCTTTTGTTAGATTCATGAAACTATTTAAGTGCACATTACAATAACACTAGTCTTTTGTGTGAATTTTTCATGTGTTTCTAGTATAAAAGCATTAGTATTTTTGTGACTGAAATTTTTTTTTTTTTGATCTTGCAATTTTTGTTGATAAAGTAATAAAATGAGTTTAATGTCTTAATCACTAGTGTTTAACTACTTATTTTCTTTAATTAAAGTCATCACATATATACTATTTATTAATAGTCTGTTTTCATAAACAAACACATGCATATATAACAAACATAGTTTCAGCAAACGTAACATTTACACGCATACAAACCATATTTTATTAGAAATAACATTAGACACACATAGATCGGAAATTGGATACATAAATACCTCTCTCATCATCATCCAAATAGGAGAATCTCGACACTTAACGGACTGGTAACCCACAATCTCCAACTTCCGATCTCGCAAACAATGTGAGAATTGAAAGATTGTGAAAATACTGTGCATTGTTGCCTTAGCAACAAGGTCTGCACAACAACTTGTAAACGAAAAATATGTTATGAAGAGAAGAAAAAAAAGCTACAATATGAAAAAATATAAAGCTTGATTGCTTGTGTAGTTTCACGAAAGCCTTCGAAAAAATCAGATGGTAACAAATTTTGAAAAAAAATAATTCCTTGTCTACTCAGGATAGAAACAAGATGGGAGATTCAATACCTTTCAAACTAGCACTGCCTAAACTGAAGTACTCTATTGGTTCAAAGCCAAAAGAAAGATTGTCAATAAACCAACATTCAACCTTTACGTATATTAAGATTGTTGAGAGTATTCTAACAAGAGAAGAGATCTGAAGGATACGAGAGTCGTTTATGCGACCTGTGTAATAAGGCTCAGTGAGAGGAGAAAGAATTTATCAGTCAAGATTGTCTACGGCATTCTCACAAAAAGCATCATTATCGTCAAAGACAATGAAGTTTGGTTCCACTTCGGTGCCCAGCCAATGAGGTTCTCTATGAGAGAATACCACATGCTGACCGGTTTGAAATGTAGTGGTGAAGTAGAAAGACCACGAGGGGAAAACGAGAGATTTGAGTTGGACTTCCTAAAAGGTTCTCATATGTTACATGACGTGGAGAACCAGCTCAGAAACACAAGAGAAATGCTTCTAATGAGAGATTATGCCTCGCAATGCTTCTCCTGAATGAGAGCATACTGTTGTGGAAGAGCAAGACATGGTGTTTCCCTTTGTTATGTGAACAAAGCATAGGATATGGATGTCTTGATGACATATTTATGAGAAAGAGAAGCTTATATCTTGCTGTTGAAGTCAATTAAAACACTGTGGACAATCACCTCAAGAATACTACACATTTGAGTTGCAAGGATTTTCTAGTCTTCCATCTTTGGATACTAGAGTCAATTCCTATGCTATAGTCTAGGTTCAGTAAGGTGATAACTATTCCTCAGCTTCAAAGTCTCGACCAATCTACTTGTATGAGAAATATATTGAGGTAGATTCTCCATCACAACAACATATCATGAAACTCAGTGAGGTATTCAACGTAAAAGTTCAATTAAGTTTGAAATGATGTTACTTTGACCAGATCGGAAATAATGTTACCTTGATCAGTCGAAGACACGAGATACATATACGGATCAAAGACGACGATATAATGCAAGGGCTCAGACAACAACGATCAAGGACGATGGACGACCGTATGGAGGCGAGATGACGGACGGCGAGACGACTGACATCAATACGGAGGGCAAAACAGCACATCTTCGTTGGAGAGTGGCTCGTTGAAGACGACACAAACACATGATCATCAAACATAATGATTTTGAATTATTATTTAATAATTTAGATTAAATTTAAATTGGACTAACCAGGTACTTTTTCATCATTAAATAAAACATTCTGTCAAGTTGGGTTTTAGAATCTATATTTGGAAGAAAAACTCAGTTTGATTCTATTTAGAACCCTTTTTTTATATATATTATTTTTATTTTCCTTATGTAAAAAATATAGTTTCTATATTAGTCGTATTTATCTTCTAAAATTAAAAATGCAAAATCAAAAAGTTATAAGTATATAAGAAAATGTAAAAGAATATTGATATCAATCCGCATATCACATATCTTTACGGTTATAATCTAAAGCAAAATATTCATAAGACTTTCATACAAAATCTATATCTTTATACTTTGAATGGATGAAGACTTTGAACATGAATTATGTCAAGCTTCTAATGTGGATTAGATTTTTGGGTCACCGATTTCAATTTGATTTAATTTAGTAGGTGTTATTTTTATTCAATATTTAATATAAATGTTTTGGATTTGTTTTAAATTATATAATGAAATTTTGCTTTATTTTGTAACTATTTTCTAATTTTTACTTTTTATATTGGGAAAATGGTTGAAAAAAATCCTTAACTTTCTGAATTGGACCATTATAATCCTCAACTTTCGAAATGATCTGAAAAATCACAATTTTTTTTTGTTGACATCTAAAAAAATCGCTAACTTTTCGTTGATTGGATAAATATAGACCCGACGTTAATTACACTAACTGAACGTGTTAACTCTGTTAATATGTTTCATTAAACTAAAACAACATCGTTTCTCTTACACTAATAAAATCTCTAAAATCTTTTTCTCCCAAATCCATTTGGGGTTTCTCTCGACGATCAATCCTGCCGACATAGAAGCTACAGAGTTTGCACCGCCGAGTTTTTCTTTTTGACACTTTTTTTTCTTTTTATTCCCCATCTCCTCTTGATACGATCTGATTGAGGCCCAATCTTAGTTTGATGTGGAAGAAACAAAGAGATCGAGTGGGATTAGAAGATTTTTGGTGGTGGGTCGCGATTTAGGGTTCGTCGTCAAGATAAACCCCAAATATATTTGGGAGAAAATGGTTTTAGGGTTTTTTATTAGTATAAGGAAAACGACGTCATTTTAATTAATAAAGCAAATTAACAGAGTTAATACATTCAGTCAGTGTAATTAATGTCGGGTCTTAATTGATCTAGTCAACGAAAATTTAGCAATCTCTTAGAAAGTCAACAAAAAGTTGTGATTTTTCAGATCATTTCGAAAGCTGAGGATTTGGGATCTTTTTATTTTTCCGTTTTTTTCCGTTGGCTAAAGGATCCTTCAAGAGATAATAACGTGTCTCTGATCGTGAGACTTATTTTCCAAGCTGTGGTGTATGTGATTTGGAAGGAGAGAAACCAGATGCTTCACTTATCGGTGGAGAAGCCACCGGGAATCATCATAGAGGAGATTAAACAGGTTATCCGGCTTAGATTGGATCAGGTGGCTCGTATACAGGTTATTGATCCTGGTCAACCTTCAGTCCTTTCAGTGTGGCTATCCCTCTTTGCAGTTTGAAGTGGCGTAGGTAAGGTTAATTTTGGCGTCAAAAGTTTGCAAGTCATCCTTTTCTGGTAGTAGAAGAGTAGTTGGGCTTTGGGCCTTGAGTTTTTTTTTTATGTTCAGATGTTTTTTTGTTTAGGCCGTTTTGTAATAGTTGTGATGAATAAATGGAATGTTAAAAAATATATATATATACTAGGATCGGCCTGTGCTTCGCACGGGATGTTGTTTTTGTTCTTATTCAAGATAACTATTTTTCGGAGATTTGATACAAAAAAAAAACTATTTTCTTGAGACAAAAGATCTAATTAATTTGCATGACACAATATGTTGGGGGACAATTTTGCTATATAAGGTCATCTTGGCTGAAGTATTATACTTACAAAAAGATTCATGCTAGAGATCAAAATCTAAAGACTACCTTTAGTCTCTTAACCTTTGAAACATTTAAACCCTTTTGAGTATATTAAGCCTTGACTGCAGCATTAAAGATACTGACCACTTTTATTCAAGGAGTTCATGAAGAAAAAACTGAATCAATATTAAAAGTTAAAAAAAAAACTAACAATTTACAGAGAGAGTTCACTGAATCCTTTCAGCATGGGGGAAACTACAATTACCTATAAGAACCTTCTCATGGAAATCGAAATAGTTTTAGGGTTTAATGTCCTTCTCAGCAACCTTTAACACATTGCTATATTGATCCTCTAAACCACAAACACACAACAAAGCTGAGTGGTAAGCAAATCATACCAAGTATTTTGCTTCTATGGCCTGAGACTGGCCTTCTTATCAGCTTCCTCATCAACCTAGTATACTCTCTTTCTTTCCTCTGCAAATCCTCAATAGTTTGAGTAATTTTTTCTTTGATACATCTAAAGATGCTATCTTTTGTTCAAGCACCAAACGCTTGTAACTCAAAAAAAGGGGAAAAAACAATTCAGTTGACAACTTACTTTTTTACAGGAAAAAACATTACAACTCCAAAAAAAATACCATTATTTAAAACAACAAATGTTCGTAAAATTCTGCAAAACACCACTTTACTATTCTCTAAAGAATATCAAAAAATAAATGATATGCAGAAGGACCTCTCTTTACTCTGTTGGTTGTGTCTCATGCCATGTGTTTGTTGTAATGGTTCTCGTTATACTTCTTAGTCGCAGCAACTTTCTCCATTATTAAACTCGAAAACAACCCTTCATCCTCTGCAGCCTCCGATGTCGGAGATAACTTCATCTTCTCAACCAACTCCTCCTCCTGATCCGTTTCACAATTCTCGTTCTTTTATCTTCAAGAACATAAAAAGACATTTTTTTCTCTCCTCCATTGAATGATTTGGATCCATTCTTGGCATCGTTGATCCGTCATCGTTCCACCCTGATGTCATCTCCACTTTTTAAGTCTTTCCTTCTTGAAGGTGATTTCAAGCCGGAATTTGTCCTCTGATGATAACTTCTCTGGACATAAAAATAATAAAGACAAACTTTATCACATACTGGGACCGTTCCTGTAGCAGCTTCAGTCAGGGCATTAATCTTCTCCCTTCTGGCCTATATCCGAACATTAGTAATGAATTAGCGATTAATCAATTGATTAAAACCCAAAAAAAAGTATTGTAAAAATCTGTGAGATGTTAAGTTACTTGTTATGCTAAGCTATGGCTATATGTTGCTTTACCACGGAAATCTCTAACATGAACATATGAAAGCTTCTTGTCCTCTCCAGATATTTTGTTCTTCTTCTTCCTTGAAACTTTAACCTATAAATATTGTTAAGGATATGTTTCATGGATTCATCAATCACTGGCTTGTTCAAATGTTAACAAAACATAACACTTGTCTAACCTTCTTCTCTTGTTCGTTTCTCTTGATCAGAAACAAAGGACACCAGGTTCGGTTTTCAGTCTATCCATATTAGAGTCGGAGTAGAAGGTAGTTCGTAGTAGTCTCACTGGAGACGTTTAATTTTACTACTGCTTATCAGCAATCACTGAGGCCTTGTTCGTTAGTACATCTGAAAGATGCATCCAGATGGTCCATCTAGATGTTTTATCCAGATGCTCCATCTGGATGTTGTTCGTTTCTCTATTTCGTCTATATATCTAGATGAATCATCTAAATATAACTATGTTCGTTTGTTTTTTTTAACTTGCATCTGCATCCAGATGGATTTGTTAATAAAATGAATAAAAGAAATTTGTGTTTACATTTTTAGTGGAAAAATGCATTTTTACGATTTTGATGAAAAATGAGTTTTTCCAGTTTTGCCGGAAAAATTAACGTTTACGATTTTGACATGAAAATGTGTTTTTACAGTTTTAGCGGGAAAACATTTTTTGCAAATTTGGCGGAAAACGCGTTTTACCGTTATGCCGAGAAAACGTGTTTTGCAGTTTTAGCGAGAAAATAGGTTTTTATGGTTTTGGCGTGAAAACGTGTTTTTGCGGTTTGGACGGGAAAACGCGTTTTTGCGGTTTTGGCGGGAAAATACATTTTTACGGTTTTGGTAGAAAATGCGTTTTACAGTTTTGGCGGGAAAACGTGTTTTATGTGTTTTTGGCGGGAAAACGCGTTTTTACGGTTTTGGCGAGAAAATGCGTTTTTGCAGTTTTGGCGGGAAAATACGTTTTTATGGTTTTGGCGGGAAAATACGTTTTTATGGTTTTGACGGGAAAAGGCGTTTTTAAGGTTTTGGCGGGAAAATGAATTTTTACGGTTTTGGTAGAAAATGCGTTTTATAGTTTTGGCGGGAAAACGTGTTTTATGTCTTTTGGCGGGAAAACGCGTTTTTACGGTTTTGGCGAGAAAACGCGTTTTTGCAGTTTTGGCGGAAAAACGCGTTTTGACGGTTTTGGCGAGAAAACGCGTTTTGCAGTTTTGGCGGGAAAATACGTTTTATGTGTTTTTGGCGGGAAAATGCATTTTTACGGTTTTGGCGAGAAAACGCGTTTTTGCAGTTTTGGCGGGAAAATACATTTTTATGGTTTTGGCATGAAAACCTGTTTTTACGGTTTTGGCGGGAAAACGCGTTTTTGCGGTTTTGATGGGAAAATGTATTTTTATGGTTTTGGTAGAAAATGCGTTTTACAGTTTTGGCTGGAAAACGTGTTTTATGTGTTTTTACGGTTTTAGCGGGAAACACACATTTTTACGGTTTTGGTGTGAAAATGCGTTTTTGTGGTTTTGGCAACAAAATACATTTTTGGCGGGAATATGTATTTTTGCGGTTTTGGCGAGAAGGTGTATTTTTCGATTTTGGTGGAAAATACATTTTTCGGTTTTTACGATTTTGGCGAAAAAATACTTTTTGGTTTTTACGGAAAGATATATTTGCAAAAAAAATTAGTATTTATGGTTTGAAATTTTATATTTATTTTAAAAGGTTATTTTGTCATTTATGATTTTGGACTGAACTAGATGCATCTGCATCCAGATGCACCATCAAGACTCACCCTCATTTGGGTGAGAATTTGAGATGAGTTTTTAAAAAATCAGTTGGGTGATCCATCTAGATGTAGCATTTTAATATACAAAACGAACATTGATTTGCATCTTCACCCAGATGGATCACCTGGGTGAGCAAACGAACAGAACCTGAGAAGAGAAGCGAGCTGTGCCGGACCTTGAGAGTAGAGAGCCTTGTATTATCTCGGACCTTTGAAGGAGACGATTGTAGCGGTTAGGGTTAGGACTCGACTCGAAGTCAGCATTGTTGGGGCCGTAGGACGCCTCTGTGTAAGGCCTCTTTGACGGAACTGGTGACGGAACAGCGCTGGACTTGGTCACTCCGGCTCCGAAGAAATCCCGACATCCGGATCTGTTTGATATCCGGAGCTTTTCTGGTCTTCTTTCCCTCAGCCCTACTCTTTCCGTTTTGTGATCTGAGTAACCTAACTTTACCGGCGTATGTAATTGCTTTTCGATATACCCATTTTTCGGATGATAATGAATTTAATATTATTTAAAAAATACCTCTTTCTCTTTTACTGAAGGATGTCGACGGTTGCCATTTCATGAAGACGTGGTGGTAACAGCCCAAATTTATTTCACCGAAGCCCAAGAAATTGATTAGTTAAAGCCCTATACAAATGAAAACAACGTAACTTTTAAAAAACTTTACACGTGGTAAGCTCTTATCTCACTAATTAGTGACATGACACTCTAAAATTAGAGAAAACCTTATTTTATAGTAATAGATTTGATCATGAATAACCCATTTAACTCATTAATCTGAGTTTGAATTTATGAGCTGAGATAAGATGTTGTGGATGAGTAATGGTAAATTTTTTGCATTAGTTGGTAAAATGTGGTAAAATGGATAGTTACAACAACTATGTAACTATGTTGTGTTTGTGTTATACTTCATGTTTTTAAAACTCTTGAAATAGATAAAATAACACATGTTTCAAAACTGAGTAGCGAACCAAAAGATGCAAAGTGATTTTAGGGAAACAAAAGTCATCATCTAAAACGACATAATAAAAGAGCTGAAAAGTCACAAACTTAAGCAGCCTGTTGGCCAGCGAGCCTCTTCCTGGCCTCCTCAATGATGGTAAGCTTAATACCTTTACCCTTAGGAAGAGACACCCACGGCTTTGTTCCTTTGCCGAGTGTGAAGACATTACCCAACCTAGTTGCAAACTCATGTCCTGTAGAGTCTTGGATGTGGATTGTCTCAAAGCTTCCCTTATGCTTCTCACGGTTCTTGATCACACCAACACGCCCTCTGTTTCTTCCTCCAGTCACCATCACAACATTGCCGACATCAAACTTGATGAATTCCACAATCTTGTTCTCCTCAAGATCGAGCTTAATGGTGTCATTAGGCTTGATGAGCGGGTCAGGGTAACGAATGGTGCGACCATCGTATGTGTTCAGGTAAGGAATGCCCTTCTGTCCGAACTGGATAGTTCGGACCTTGCAAAGCTTAAACTGTAGATAGAGAGAAAAAAAGACAAATCTTGTTAGTAAAACGTAAACGTCTAAATGATGACACAGGAGGAGATCAAACAAACCTTGGCTTCCTCGTCCCTGATGGAGTGGAGCCGGAAACGACCCTTGGTATCATAGAGAAGACGGAAGTTCTCGTTGGTTTTAGGGATGGAGACAACATCCATGAAACCAGCAGGGTAGGTCTTGTCAGTCCTGACTTTGCCATCAACCTGAATATGCCTCTGCATAAGGATCGAGATGACTTCACGGTAGGTAAGAGCATACTTCAACCTGTTCCTGATGATAAGAACGAGGGGAAGGCACTCCCTGGACTTGTGGGGTCCAGATGATGGCTTGGGGGCCTGTGTGAAATCAATGTGAACCGTCATTCAGACATAAGCAAAAGGAAAGTAAATTTATTTAGAGACAAGAAGGGAGAGAGCAGAAGACATACAAAAGCACCACCAAGTTTGTCAAGCATCCAATGCTTAGGGGCATTGAGCCTCTTCAAATGCTTCTTCAAACCTCTCGCCTATACAGTAGCAGAACAAAACATATGTTAGAGCGATAAAAAATGACATTTCCAGAGCTAGATGTTCTGGCATGATCTAGAGCACAAGCACATCTAAGATCTAAGTTATTCAGATCTAAGTACAATCACGGTGATGTATGTTGGGAAGTTAATGTCTACACAATCCGATAGTTGTTCTGAAGCTAAGTTAACGATAGTCTTAAGTTACTAAACCCCAAAGCCCCCCAGAATCGAGTTATGAAACCATCAAGATGTAAATAGATAACATGAGAGAAAGAGACGTACCATGTTTGGAGTTGGTAAGCGTAGCTCCGACCCAAACGACTTCTCTCGTTTCGCTACGAACGACTGGTTTAAGTTGCGAGAGGAAACGAGTGAAGCCCTAATTCTATTTAAATACCCTCCTTCTTTTACAATGTTAGGTTACTTTGCGCTTGGCCCATTTCTCTATCCATTTATTTAAGCCTTATGGGTTTGCTTTTCTGGTTAATGGACTTCGGGACGACATCGTTTTATGCCCTTTAGCTTTCATATTTGACTTCTACTGCTGCTGCCTATGCCGCTCATAGTGGCAGGATGCTCATGTACAAACACATAAAATGAAGCTCAAGTTTCCTTCATCAGCGGTGATTGTCTTTTATGTATTGCTCTTCTGATTACCAAAGCGATAACTTTTTCGTTTGATCAATAAAGGAAATGTGTTTGGGTGGGAAACAAATATATGAGTCTAGTAAGCTTTACATCTGATTACTCTAGTTTATGTTGAGCCTGAGTAAACTGAGGAAGAATGGGATGAGCTGAGTGACGAGGTGGCCTGAAGAAGACAATCCACGCGTATACCGTAGCCACCACAACAACTACTAACCCAAAGGAAGGCAGATTGAAAAGAGAAAGATGGGAACATAAAAAAAGTTCTATTATTATCCTTTTCTTAATCTTCCACATGTATGTATACAGAATCATTATTCATTCCGTGAAACAAAACTCAACACACTATTCTGTAAAATCTCTGTATATCAATGCAACCTACGTTCCTCCGCAAAGCCCTAAAAAGTAAGAAGAGTGTTTGGGATATAAAGCAAAACTCGCACGCTAATGTCACAAAAGGTAACCTCAGCTCCCGTTGTTCAATCAGCAAGGAGATTGGCACAAGGGGCAGACTTTCTTATGAGACGTGAGGAACCACTTGTCTAAACATGCTTTGTGGAACTTGTATTTGCATGTCACGCAAGCCCGCCTTGGAAGGCTGTGATTTACTGTGTGGATCACACTGTAACATATCGGACAGTCCTCTACTCCTTCAAATTCCTTGTCCGAGTTCCTCTTCCATATTCTTATCGCCTCCGCTAATGCCCCGTTCTGTTTTCAAACACCACATTAAAAACACACACACATTCAGCCAAACACATGCACCAAATTTATGATTTTTTTTTGGGAATCTACCCACTTTTGCTGTCATATTATTATTATTGGTCAACATGATGGACCTACATATCATGCAAGACAACAAAGTTTTACATCTCATAATGTATACAGTACCTGATTACGGACAAACATCTGCATAGACATCAACCACTTCCTCTGCTTTGCGTCGCTTATTCCAATACTTTTTGTGCAATTGACATCAACAGGCCTGAGTGGGTAAGAAACTGGAAGACGGATCACGAGATCCATCCCGGTTTCATCCTTTGTATATGTAGCAACCACTTCATTAGCCGATTTACTTATGCTGACTGAGAAGCTCTCATCATTAAAGTCTGCCTTCTTTATCTGCAGATTTCATAAACAATTATTAGTGGGCTTTCACTATAAATCTCAGAGATAGGAAGAGGTCTTATTGCACATACCTGAGACAGTTCGTTCATGATTAAAGAAGGGCTGCACCACGATCTTGTAAATGCTTCAATTGAAGATGATCCAGATCGATCACGCATTTCGCTAAACCATTCTCTAACATAAGCTGGAAGGACACGTAGCATCAGACCATATATCGCTCCAGCAAGCGAAGCCATTTTTACGGTTTCAATGGGCCAAAGTGACTCAACGGTTGACATGGACGAACCCGTTGTAATCGCAAGAGTTGCTGCAGATGCTACCACCGAAAGATCAGACGGAATATCCCCATCTTTTTTCTTCAAGCCCTGTGCCATGTATAGTTCTAAAGGAATATGCTGGAAAAGACTATCTAATATCAATCGATTTGCAGTTTTCTCTATATGCTGCACCAGTCTCTCTCGTCCTTGTGTTAGTGCAGGTAGAGAGTTAACATGCGAGAGTAACAAAGACCATGCCAGGAATGTTTGCACCTGCCATTAAAAGTGGCTATTACATTAAATGATTTGTACGAAGACAGGACTATAAACAAAATAAAGCTTTTGAAAGTAAAGTTTACCCGTTCTGGCGCAATTAAATCCGTATCAAGAAGTTCATAATCTAACTTCTCAACCATACACGATATTTCATCTCTTAGCCGTAGGTTTTCTTCAGGTGGAACGTTGCTGGAGTCCTGATCACTAAGTGACTCATCACTGGGTGACGCATTCCCATCAGCAACTATGGCGAGCCTGGAAATAGGTTCGGTCGACAAAACAATGTATGCAGCTCGTTGCAAGGAAGGGATTGGTTTGGAAGAGAACATTATTGCATACAAAGAGCTTATAGCTCCCTTGCTTAGACCCCAAAATTCCACCGCTCTTACAGCTCTATCTCTTGCACGTGAAGAAGAGTCTACAACAAGCTGAGCCACCAACTCCCAGAATTGCAAATGATCAACTCGATATGAAGCAACAAGAGATGCTGCCTCTGGGGAATATGAAGCAGCAATAGCCTCAGCAAGTCCGGTGCAAAAGAAAATACGCAGAACACCTTCAAGTATCCGATCTTTAACCGGGTCCCAAATTTCATCTGCCAAAGAACTCAAATTGTCTTCACCTTCGACCGATTTATGTTTTACTAATGCACTAAGTAAGGAGAATGCTGAGAGAGCATTCTTGGCATTGTCTAAAGAAGGATCCGATATAGAAACAATATGCCCAAGTCCCTCAAGAGTATCAATCTCCTTCTCCATTGAAGAAACACCACTAATGAACTCATTGACGTTCTCAGAAGTTTCCTCCATCACAACTACTGCAGACTGAATCAGTCGTTTCAAATTAGAAAAGACAAAATCCCAGTCTTCCTGAATAAAATCGTTTCCACAGTAGCTAACTGCAACGGCTATTAGTCTTGCCAGAAGAATTTGGACAGTTGGAAGTTGGGTAACTACGTTTGATGCACCAGGAACTTGCCTTTGTTTGCGAAACAAATTTAGCAGAAGTGTTCTCTCTTCATTGCTCACATGCGTCTGTGGTGCCTTAACTTCTTCAACTATTTCATTCACGGGATAACAAGAGATAACAAGCTGAAACCAATCCTGCATATCTGATAAGACAACGAAAACAACAATCAGCAAGGCATGCAAAGGGACACTAAAGAAAGAAACATGTCTCTTAAAATGCTCCCATCTGATCCCAGCTATAACCACTTGTTAGGTGAGGACTCACGAATATCACTAAGTCTATCTTACTTCAGTAGTAAATACTTGCTCTATATCTACCCCCAGCCTAATCCTTTATTTAAATCTAAGCAATGTACAGTAAATCACGATGAGATCACTAGCCATGAAAAATAAGATTTAAGTGGGACCCCTCACCTTCCCCACTTTGCCAGAGGACCATAGGAGGAAACGACAAAGACCTTTCTAGCCAACCTTTAAGGAAAACTTCCAATGGCAGTGCAGTGTCTTCACCAGAAACACCAAATTTAGTTGTTGTACGTAATGGTGAAATTATTATGCTCATAATGAAAGGAAGGATTCTCAAACAGTTTTTGCTCGTCTCTTCCCCTATGAAGAGCTTATCTGTGACCATTTTGAAAGCAGACATGGCTTCTTCTTCTTTCCAAAGGCTCTCCTTAAACAAAGTGATAAGCAATGACACTAGAGCCCTCAAAAAAGGTTCTTCGACGTCCTCTATGTGATTGTTCAATTCAATCCACATATTCCCGGAGCTCTCTCTCTCATCCTCTTCTTCCTCTCCATGCACAAGGGCACCATTCAGTAGAATCTCAAAAATGGAGTTTAGTAAATCTGCCCTCTCTGGTTCACTCTTACAAAATGAGACGAACGCTGGCAGGAAAGAAGTTTGAACACTACCCCCTGGCCACTCCCACGTGCAGAGTATTTCTGCGGAAAGCCAAGCTTGAGAGGATAACCCATTATCTTTGTGGCCAACAAGAAATCGGTGAATCCCCATCTTCCTGATCAGGCTTTCAATGAAAGAAACAAATCTTTGACTCTTGGCTGTCCTCAATTCATACAAATGAGCAGGCATGTCATGCGTACTAATGCTAGCTAACGAGCTGGGGCTGATCCACATAGGCCATACATCACTCTCAAGCAGGAGCAGCCAACATATATTTTCTTCATCAGTTTGATCCAACGAAAGATACTCAAATACCTCGGTGATCCATGAAGCACACAGTAACGTAAGTTGACAAGGTTGCAGATCATCCTCAAGTTGAACAACTGATCGTATGGACTGAGCCAGAATCTTTGCTGTACTCTTCCTGACGTCATAATTTATAGATTTCCAGAACTGATTATTCATCTTAGAGCAAACAGCATGAACAAAACCACACACAAGATTTCGATCCTTTTTCTTCTCTTTAAACTCATGAGTACTGTCCACAAGTGACGATAATTTATTCTCCAAGTCAATGATAAAGATGGAAGACAGAATCGTTGAAAGTAGAGTGGCATCTTGATTCAGAGCCTTTAAACTGAAGAAACTACCATCAATAACTTCTGCTGCAAACTTAGCCACCGTGGCCGCGTCTCCGGAACGGCTCAAATCAAACTCTATATCAACAGCCTCAGCGATAAGGGAGGAACAAGTATCATTGACTGAACATAATGGTGACTGTTTGATAAAAGAAAGCAGCCTTTCGAGGATCCCTCTATATATCAAGACCAACGAGCTTCTTGACACAAAAGAAATACAGCTGTCTTCCGTTGAACCACCCAGAACTGAACTGCAGACACATAAATATAGAATAAGAACTGCGAGCAAGTAAATAAGCAGTCTCAAAGAACTGGCTGAGAATGTAAATGCAAAATCTTGGATTCGACTGTGAGCTTGGATTAAAACAATATGAATATTAGCTTTGTTTGATACTGTCTTATAGATATATTGACTAGCTTACCACACGAACTGAGCAGAAGAGGTTGTAGTCATTGGGGAGGAGTGGACAAGATCTATAGCAGTTGATTCTATGAGACTGTGATGCCAATCGTCTGGCCTAGAGCCTATTCTTTGCTTCAGCCCAGAACTTCTTTTTGTAATTTCATCCCTTGCTTTCTCTAAAAGCATTTCCATTGAAGCAACGTTATTAAATCCCTGATGTTGTTGATCAAATACATAAGAAATTACAGCACTCCACTGCTGAGTAAAACATTCATCGTCAAGTAATGAAAGCAAGAGATCTTGTTTAGCTGCAGTCGAAGAGCCATGTCCATCCATACACCAGGGAATAAAGATTTCTTGAAAAACTTTAATAAACTTCTCTGGGCTCATATCACTCCCTTCGTCATCAGAGGGAAGGGTAGAAGTTTCTACACCACCAATAAGTGCTGGAACTATCTTTCTCGGTCCAAACACCGATACTGAAACTGACAAAAGCTTCACACCATCCACCAATTCCTGAAAACAGAAATACAACCACATTACTTAATCAAGTAAAAACATCATATGGCTTACCATGACATAATAGGGTTACACAACATGGACAATAACTTACAGATGATTTTATCCACGGGAAAGCCTTGGACAGCAGTGGCCTAATAAATTTATTCAGAGGCCAAGTCTCAGCTTCCAGAACAGAGTTTCTCTCCAATAACAAGAGAAAATCAATCATTTTTTGGATGCTGCCTGTGACTGTCTCTAAACTTCCCTGCTGGAGCGTATTCAAGTAGCTCTCTTGAACAGATTTGTAGAAAAAAGACAGCAGGTTCTGTTTGAGTAAATTAACTCCTGAAAGAATCTCTACGATGCATCTTCCTAGCTCTTGCAGAAAACTTACTGAACTATTCATGCTCAGAGTTTCAGCTGGCTTCCTCTGAATAGGTGGAATGCTGCCCTGAGATTGTTCAAGGAAATTCTCCCATAGAATCTTCACAAGGACTTTATCAATTAGAGCAACTTGGAGATCTTGGATGGACTTGGGACCATCACAATACCTTGAAGCATTACGTAACCCCCAGAGGAAACATTCAGTGGTTGCACGAAGGAGTGATAATTGATCCGCGCTGGAATCACACATACTCCTCCCAGCCAATAAGTTATTGAAAAAATTCACAAAGAACTTATCAGCTTCTACAGATTGGGTCGGCATAACTTCCAGGAACAATATCAATGCAGGGTAAGAAACCACTTGGGATCCAAAGCACCCGTTCCTAAGAAACTGCCATAAGTGATTTAGAACAGATTTATGAACATTTAAGTAGCCCCAACTCTTCGGAAATTTTCTAGAAAACAGCAAGAGAGCCTCCCACATTGAAGAGTGACAAATTGGATTATTTTCTCGAAAAACACCAAGCAGAGCTGGTGCAAGACATCTAACGTCGCCTTCACTAAACACTTCTGGAACATTTTTGATGAAGCTACTCAACAAAGAATACGTCGCTGACCGAACACTAGGGCTTTCAGATTTTAGAAAGTTCAGAAAGCATTTATGGGAAGAGAACAACTTCTCAGCTGAGGACGTTGCTACTCTCCTAGCCTTCGAGGCAAGTTTCGATTCAGTATTGATACTTGCAGAGCCAGCTTTATCGGGTTCGTGGAGCAAAATATCTAAAAGTGTAGCCAACGACACCAGAGATGAAGATATCATCTGAAAACAATGCAGAATAAGACATCGGAAAAGAAAACCCAATGAAGGAAAACGAGACCCTTAACGTAAAGATTCACCCAGATGAAATACCTGGTGGTACATTTCTTCTAATTCATCGGACGCAAGTGCTTTATCAGACAAGCTTTGAGGTGTAAGTTTGAGATTTTCCTCCAGATAAGCAAAAATCTCAGCTGAACACAGATTCAAGGCGTCCAATCTCTTCTCCTGGGCAGGGAAAGCTGCCTGTTCAACCATGAAAATGGAAAATGAATGTTTTAACAAAGTGCAAGCTAGCCAGAACTAAAACGTCAGTTCACTAGTCTAATAAGACCCACAAGAGAAATTACTATAGAAAGTGTGCATCTACACACAAGATAAAAAAAGAAATCTAGAGAAACGAGGTGGCAACCTGCAAAGACGACTTTGCTACTTGAGAAACTTCAGAAACCAAATCAAACTGTGAAAACCACCAGGGCCCCATTATAGACTTGAGATGAGGTGCTAAGTCTCTCCTACCAAACGTGTAAGAAAATAATTAGTGCAGAATACCAAGCATCGAGAGAGAAGACATAAAAGAGGAAATATCGCATGCATGCCAAGACAATATCAAGACACATTCCCTATATAAAACGCTAAATATAGTCAGGCTTCTGCAGCACTAAGCAACAAGCGATTCATTCAAAAAAAATAGTCATGTAGTCCTTCAATATAGATGCTAGGTAAACCCAAAACTAAATCATATTTCATATTCTCACTCAGGTCATAATAAGACCATCTGACATCCTAGCGTGTGATACTAAAAGAAAAAGCTAGATAAGAGACCCAATAGGAATGACGGAAAGAAAAAGGGTATGAATTACAAAATTAAGAGTCAAAAGTACCAACCCGACACCAGTGACAACATTAGTCATGACCTCATGAGTAGCTCGTCGAACATCTCTACTGTAGTCCAGTATCAACTTCTTGTACTCAAATGTCTGAGACAAGTAAGAGGGAGTCAATAAACAATTAATTGCACTACAACCTGAGGAAGACAGTGATCAAACATGCTACAAAAAGCGTCTAGTATGTCTACAAAGAAAACAAACCCATTGTGGTATCAATGGCAAAAGTTCTTTCCCTTTCTTCTGCTTAACAAGTTCTGACAAAGAAGCAAGAGCTTTAATCTGTCCAAACAACCAAAATCACAAATTAACAAACCTTAATAGAAGAGGCAATTAATTATACTCTAATTGAATAACCAAAAAGGCTTTACCTTCGTTGTAGGGTCCTTCCTCGAAAGACGTTGCAAGTGTTGAGCCATCTCACTATCCAAATCCTACAATCAATCAACCCACAAAAGATGAGAGCCTAGCATTCGAGTAGGCATAAATCAAAGCACAAACATACCAAAAAGGGAGCAGAGTCTTCGTTCGATATAGAAGATTCGAATCTAGAGCTACCAACATAACCGCCAAAACCTACTGCGGCGGCTGCAGAGCCAGACGGTAACAGAGAAGCTGCCAAGCTGTTCCAGAAAGGTCAAATTCAGTAAGCGAATCAATGAATAAAATCTAAAGCAAGGAGAGATTGGAGGATAATTTTTCACCTGCTGCTGGAAGGACGAGACTTGCTCCTTGCAGCATCTCCTTTGGGTTTACCCATCTTGGTCTACTGTAGACGGGCGGAGGAAAGGTCTGCGTCTTTTAGGAGAATAATGCGAAGAGAGAAGGAAAGGGTATGATCGATCAGTAAAGCAATTAGGTAAAAGTCAAGGGTCGGTGAGGGAAGGCGGTGGCTGTGTGGTCGTCGCCGTCGCAGGAGGAGACAAAAGAAAGTTCGTCGGGGACGTGTGTGTATGTGTGTGCGACGATTAGTATTGGATTTGTTGAGTCAGGCCCAGTTATTCACGGCCCAGCTAATACTCCTAAACCTAAGAAAATATTTTAAAAGCCAATTTATACAAAAAAGGAAACTAAAATGATCATGAATATTCATTTATAGAAGGGGGAAAATTTCTTAAAAATACACAGACCAAATTTCATTTGCTAATAAAATACATGAATTATTTTAAATTTTTATTTAATACTTGAACTAATTTGCGTTGCCTATTAAATACACAAACTTTTGAAATTCGCAGTTTTTACATATCGTTTTAGACAGGCGTTAACTATATTTAACAGAAGTGACGACGACGTTAGAGTCTAATTAAACACATGTTTAAATTGTGAAAAGAAAATTTCCTAAACATACACGAACTAATTTTCATTTGCTAATAAAATACACGAACTATTTTGGATCTCCGTTAAATATACGAACTAGTTTTTCTATTAAACATAGTCGACGTCGTCCAAATCGATGTGTAAAATCTGAAAATTTCAAAATTTTGTGTATTAAATGGAAAACAAAAATTGGTGTGTTTATTAAACAGGAATCCAAAATAGTTCGTGTATTTTATTACTAAATGAAAATTAGTTCGTGTATTTTATTACTAAATGAAAATTAGTTCGTGTATTTTTAAGAAATTTTCTTTTCAAAATTTGAACACGTGTTTAATTAAACTTTAACGTCGTCGTCACGTCCGTTAAATACAATTAATGCCGTCTAAAAAGATGTGTAAAAACTGCGAATTTCAAAATTTGTGTATTTAATAAGAAACAAAAATTAGTTCATGTATTAAACGGAGATCCAAAATAGTTTGTGTATTTTATTAGCAAATGAAATTTAATCTGTGTATTATTAAGGAATTTTACCTAGAGAATTTTAATCTTCAACTTTTAAATTATCTATTTAACCTTCATTTTATGTTGACCAGATCGTTTTAAATTTTACAAAAATTGAACATGTTTCAAATTTTAAAAAATATTTGAATTTTTAGTGGATTTCTCACTTAATTACTTTTTAAAAGAGTCACTAAGTAAAGTTAATTGTATTATGTCTCTTTCAGGTTCATGTCAATAATTATTTTTATAATAAATTAATAAAATGGTTTTTAATAATGCAAATATGATTTAAATAAGTTTGTCTTTTTTTGATCAACTAATAATTTCATTAAGTGAAATGGGTCTTAGTACAAACCTAAGCCCAATAGAGATAGTTTGTTACAAAGGGAAGACTTAGCAAGTGAGTCTGCAGGCCCATTAAACACTCTGGGAATGAAAGAAAACTAAATTTAGGAAAAAAACGAGACGATGAACGATTCAATGTCTGCTAGAACCCCATAGAGCTCTATAGATCGTTGATTCGTGGTAATGGCTTGGATGAGCCGTTTGCAACCTGAACGAATCTAGATGAAGTCAATGTGGAGCAAAATCGCGTGAAGGAATGCTGCTTTGATCGCCAGAGATTCAGCCATGAGTGCAGAGGAGACGTGATCGTGATAGGAGCATCCTCGATTCACTTCTCTTCCGGTTTGATCGGTGAAGATCCAGGCGAGTTCTGCTGAGTTTAATCCACGCCGCATCAGTTTTGCATGTAATCACCGACGGCAATAATATGTGAATAAGGTTTTGTTGAAGCAATGTGGTCGGTGGAGGTGAGAGGGAAGTTTGAGCAGCTTCCCACTCCTTTAGCAAACCTATGGCTTTAGAAAGGATATCTGGTGGTGAAGTCTGTCTATTCTCAAAGGTGAAAAGGTTTTTGGCTATTCCACAGTTCCAAACATATCCAGGGGAAGAGATTTGAGGCTGAACCAGTAGGTGGGAGGTTGATCTTGGTGAAAAATTCTTGAAGCGTTGTTCTAAAAGAAGTACATGAGGCAAGATCAAGAGGTATTGACCATGGGAATAGGTTCCAAAGTTCTGATGCTATGTCACACCAAAATAGGATATGTTTCACAGTTTCTTCAGCTCCACACCTGGTGCATAATGTATTTCCTAGTAGACCTCTTCTATGAAGATTATCTCTTGTTGGTAGATTGTTTATAGCATACTCTTTATGTACCTACGTGTACTATGTATGAGGAAAAATTTTGATTTTCGGAAGGAGTCTTGGTGACCGAATTAATTTTTTCTATTCCCATTTAGCTTCGTATTTCTCCAAGAGTGAAAGCGTTGATTGGATTTTAGCTAGCCGGAAAGTGTAATACCTTGATTTTACTGAATATTCACCTGACCTTGTTGTGTCCAAATGTAAGAATCTGTTTTACCATTTGTGCTTGGTCTGATGGAGAAGATGTGGTTGGCTAGTTCCATAAAGAATCTCTCCACAAGAGCTTTATTTCATTCCTTGGTTTTTCTTGATAAAAGGTCAGCAACCATCAAGTCATTGAAAGTGCAAATTCATGAGTCAGACCAGACTTTCGTAGACTCTCTGGCTTTGAGTGGTGACCACCAAAGAAATAATAGGAACAACGAGGAAATAAATGAAGAGGAACAAAATAATAGGAACACTTGTTCCATGTTGTCCTCCCCGGATTTGATAAGGAATGATTTTGTTCTTTGATTCCTTAAATTAAAAGGAATGAGAAGGAATATTGAAGAAAAATTATTCCTTATAAATAGTGTCAAATTTAAGAAATGAAAAGGAATTAACTATTATGATTCCTTATAAATGGTATCAAATTTAAGGAATAAAGAGGAATTAACTATTCCCACACATTCCTTTGGTTACCAGTCAAAGCCTCTGTCTTTTATTGCCTTTCCTAGGTGATTTGGTAGAAGCTCTCTACCATATAGGATCCCGTTCCAGCCATGCAATGAGTTATGTGCTTTGGTGACTTTAAGAAAAGAGGATCTGTGACAATATTTCCCTAAGTAACACTCTGGCCAACAGACAATCCGGCTTAGTGATAAGTTTTCATCCAATTTTAACAAACAGAGCTTGGTTAAAGATTTGTATATCTATGAAATCTAGTCCTCCTAAGTTTTTTGGTAAAATAAGTTTGTCCCAAACTATCCAGCAAATTTTTATTTTACCATCTTTCGAATCCCACCAAAACCTAGTTAAAACAATATAATAATATGAAATCAATTAAATAAATAGATTATTTTATTGATATTTTATAAATAGAATAATAAATTCATTCAAAAATAAATAAGCTTTCATGTTAACTTAAATACTAAATATATATAAAATGTTAAGAGTCAATAAATCGATTTTCATTAAATTTATCAAAAATGTATATCACACAATTAATCAAATAAATTACATAGATTTTATTAAAATTCATAATGAAAATATTTGAAATTATAAAATTAAAATTGAATAAGTATATAGTTTTCAAATACATGAAAATAAATGGTTAAAATATTTTGATTTTGTAAATTTAATTTCCTTAAAATATATTCTCGAGGTCAGAATTTAGTTGCTTATTAAATAAGCTAATTATTTTTCTCAACTTCTGAAAGAAAAAAGAAGAAGAAACAATTAGTAGATTGAAGTTGGTGTAAGCTTTCATGTCCGCTAACCCAGGTCCGGCTCAAAAATATTTTGGGCCATGGCAAAAAAAAATTGTTTACATATATTTATAGTATTTAAAAAAATCTAAGGCTTTTATATGTTTTTTTAATAAAAATTGCACAGTTTTATTTTGCTATTTATATTTTTCTATGAAAATTGAGAATTTTTTTCTTTAAAATTAGGTTATTTTTCCTTAAAATTGTGTCTTTATTATGTTAAAAAATATGGGTCCATGATCCACGCTTCTTTGGCCATGGGTAAGAGCCGGGCCTGCGCTAACCCTAACCCTTACGAGAGTTAATACCAATTGAGTCGCTTGAACAATGTAACGCACTGTCACATGCCCACATCTCACAACTATAGCCAGTTCAAAGTTTCGTTGTATGAGATCATACTTTTAAGGATACGTGATGCGTAAATGGGAGAATGCGCCCTTATAATTATAGGCTATAGCCTATATCAGAATTTTATTTTTTTAAAGCGAAACTATTAAATCACAATACCAGACTTACAAGTTTTGTTTTTTTTTTTTATCACAAACCAGACTTACAAGTTCCAAACCCATAACACATATACGTAGAATGGACCAACAAGGCTTAACTTGTCAACAACACTTTTATTGTTTCCTCTCAACAACAAGAAAAAGAAAGGAAAGTTGTTGCTAAGTTAGGTGTATTTACAAACACAAGAAAGAGAAGAAGCTTGAGGGGACAATTTCTTACAAAACCCACCAAGACGAAACCCGTTCGAAACGCAATATTTGTTGCAAAGTGGTAATTTTGCACATTCTCCTGCTACGTATAGCCATTCCGACCTACCAGTTTTCTCATCCCGTCCTTCCGCGGTAGCTACCTTTGTGGCCATCGTCAGGTGCGCATTTGTAGCATTCCCTTCTGTATTATCATATCAAAAACATTTTGTCATTCAACATACGATCTTGACCAGAAAGGAAATAATACTCCATGGATCATACATATATGATTTACCTGAAACAAGAAGAACAATGTAAACGAAAAGAAAGAGGTAAATGAGCTTCACGGCCATTCTTCTTGGCTTAGTACTTAGTTTGCCTTTGAATGTGATCTTAATGTTTTTTTGTTATTATAGGAAAACACATTTATTTATAGATATGTGGAAGTCCCTAGATTACTTTATCTAGATTTATATACCCAAAATTGGTCTTAATTACTTTTCCTACCAAATTACTTCTGCCCATAGTAGTGCCAGTGGAGCCATATGTTATTCTAATAAGTACATAGCTATACCTAACAAATATACAAATTTAATAAATACAAAGGGAGGATTGGGAAGATGATTATGTGCCCTTGAGTGGTGCGTCTGGGGTATCATTAGTAATAAGTGGATAAAATTATAAAAAAAGAAGGGGAAATGGGTTAGTTGAGTGATGTGCATAAGTTAAGGAGAGATTTCTGATCAATCTTTGACTATATTGCTCTACCTTTCAGTAGGTTTATAATTGGTTTTTGTACACTATGTCAAAAGTATGAAAGTAGATGACAAAAGACGAAAGTCAAAAGTATGAAAAAGAAAACATTGTCGTTGACAAAGAAAACATTTTCTAAATATATATTCAGTTAGGGATGTAACGTGGATCAGTCTGCAATCCATATGATCCTCTATGTCACACAATATTTTTTTCAGACGGTTGGGGATCATCCCAAGATGATACAGCTTCAGTCAAGTTCAAAGAGCTTTGATATATCTTTTTTTTTTGACCAAAAGCTTTGATATGTGCTGTCGTTGTTTGAAATATCGTCCCAAATCTTTGATGCGTGTGGCCTAGAGCTTTTAAGGTTCTTACCTCTGAATGATCTTCACACAAAGATTACGCAATATCTTATGTTATTTAGAGTTCAACAATCTATGAGTGTAAACCTACCTCTGAATAACACTTATGATAATTTTTTTTGTGTGTGTTTAAAGTGTTCACAGATCAACAAGGGATAAAGGCTAAACAAAACATGATTTGCTTGCATAAAATTTGAAGTTGATTGATGAATGGGCTGAGTTACTAAATCAGATGATACAGCAGTAATAGTATGCTTCCGAAGTAGTATGATGCACAAGCTGTATGCTTTATTAAAGTTTTTAATTAAGTGATTTGGCACAGCAGTAATACTATACAATTATTAAATTATAATAATAGTTAATATAATAATATATATTTTAAATAATATTTATACATTTATAGTAGATATTATGAATATATATATTTTTATTAAAAATAATGAAGCTTATTCATTATATAAGTTATATTTAAAATGTAAAATTTATTTTAAAAACATTCAATTATTTTGGATATAAATATAATTTAATATTATTAAATAAATTAACTAATATATATTTTATATATAAATTATTATTATTTATTTGTTGGTAGAGTAGTAAACGATTCATATATAAAATTGTTGTAAAAGTTAATATATGTTATAAAATTTATTTATTAGTATCTAAATAATACTTTTATATTTATAATATATAAATATATATTATGTGAGGTTGTTATTAAAAATAAGGAAAGATATCTGCAATTATATAACTTATATTATATTTTAAATGTGAAGTATTGTTTTTTTTTTAAATAATCATAATTTTATTCTTTTCTAAAAATATAAACTTATTTTTATTATAAAATTATTTTTTTCTTATTAAACAAAAATAAATTAATTATACATAGTTATTTTAAAGTTCTATATATTTTATCTGCAAATGCTCTCCCGAAAACTCTATATGAGAGAATTGAGTAAAGAGTATTTGGAGAGAATTTGCATTTGGTAACGGCTTTTCAAAATGCTTCTTTGACATATGTTGATTGGATAATAGAGAGAATAAGGCCCTAAGCGTGCCTAATCCCCTATATATTAATCGTAGAGAATTACAACATTTAATTGTAACCACATGTCATCACTAGGATCACTCTTAGAATCTTTAAAAAAAAATATGTTGTTCCATCAAAATATAAATTATACTTTTTATTAAATTAACTATCAAAATAATTTATAATCCATAAATAATATTCTTTATTTTTTTTAGTAAAAGTTACAGAATTACCTAATATGATTAACATATATGTGATAATTAGTGATTATTAATAATACATATTTTATAATATTTTTTGTATCCTTTTTGTTTAAATTATTATTAAAAATAATTGAACAATCACATTCAGCATATAATAAAAACTTTTTTTTCTTATATGTTATATTTAGAATTTTTTGAAATGAAAATAAATTACTAAAAATGGTAAAACTCCCACATTGAATTTTTTTTTATCAATGGTATAACATTTTTTTGTTTAAGTAATATACAAATGATTATAAATCGTAAGAATATGAAGTCCCACTAATATATATATATATATATATATATATATATATATATATATATATATATCATTAAATTAAATTATATACTATATAAAAACATAAATATATTAATTTCAAAATTTTCAGTAAAAAAATATTAACATTTTAATATTTTAATTTTCAAATTCGTACTGGAACAATCTCATATTAAAATTTTGTGATTTATTTAAATTTTTGTTAGAGCAAAATATACAAATGTTAATAAAATAATATGACTAGGAAGTGTCAATAATAAATATAAATTAAATATAATATATATAAAATTTAATTATAGACAATGTAAAGTAAATAAACTGGTTATTTTGAGTTATTTACCAAGACATGATTGTAAACTAACAAAATGTATTAGTTTTGATTTATGTGCTTGCTCTAATGTATATAGTTTTATGTATATAAATCAATTTTTCTATAAGTAGTTTCTAATATGTTATTTGATTTTGACAATGCGCGAATTACACTTCTTGAGACCGAAATGATTTTTTAATATTGGTAGCACTATATATATATATACACACATTATTTCATTCAAATTAAATAATTTAGTTTTGATATTTATTCCTAAAAAACTTTAATAAAATATCATAACAAATCCAATCACATCATTTTGAGTTTGTTCGAAGAATGAGAGATTTGATCATTCGTCTAATACTTATTTCTCCATGATACCCAATGTAGCTATTATAATTTATCCGAACAAGACTTATGATCTTAGTACTTTTCCATTTGGTTATAATCTGAACTGAATCAAAATCCGAACTAGGTTCGAAGATATCTGAAATTAGTATAATATGTTAATAATTTTAATATATCAAGGTAATTTAAATATTTTATTGTATTCGAAATATTGTTGCAGTTTGTTTTATTTTCTATTTTTAATATCATTTAGTTAGTTCAGATAGTTTAATTAATTTTGATTACATTTATGAGTAAATTAAATATTTTGACAAAATTGTTTTATCAATTTTTAGGTTTCAAAAATATTTTTAGGAGATTTCAAATTTTGGTTACAATCCGATCCAAACCGAATCCGGAAGGAACCAAACTGAAACTGATCCTATAATTAGTAAAATCTGATGGTTCTGAAAAGCATAATACCGAAAATTTGAAAATCCGAGTCAATCGAACTAAAATCGACGGATCCCTGAATACTCAGATATATGATATATTTAAGATACCAACATTTGTATTCGTCATTTGATCTCTCTTATTGCATGAATAATAAATGTCTTATATAGGGATACAAAATAAAGATTTAGCTTGGATATCAAGTACTTGGAGGATAAGTAAATCTTGGTACACAAGTAAATCTATGACTTTTCATATTGGACATCACATAATATTTATAACAATTTATACAAAAAAACAAATAAAATAATCATGATTTTCATTTTAAAAAAATTGAATCTTCAACTTTTTAATCGTTTATTTTAGTTTCAGTTTTTGTTGACTAAATCAATTTAAGTATACAAAAATTTAATGTTTTCTAAACCGAAAAATATATTTTTACTTAGATACTTCTTCAAAAATTCACTAAGCAAGTTTAATTCCGTTTTGTCTCTTTCATGTTTATGTTCATAATTCGTTTTATAATGGATTAATAAAACTGTCTTAAAATTATGATTTAAACATGTTTGCCAAACTAACATCTAGACTAGGGGTAGGCGTTCGGGTACCCATTCGGTATCAGTTGGATATATTCGGGTTTCGGGCTCACAATTTTTAGTCTCATTCGGATATTTCTAAATTTTGATTCGGGTTCGGTTCGGATCCTTGCGGGTTCGGTTCGGGTTCGGATAACCCATTTAAATTATTTTTAAATTTTTAAAATTGATTATATACTTTAAATTTCTAAAAATCTGTAAACCAAGTAACATATTACAAATAATTGAATAACATAAGTTAAAATATCTAAAATTAACATATAAATTAGTTTGATTTGAATATTTGAATTGTGAATCAATAATTTGTTTTAAGTATTTTTGATGTTTGAGTGTATTTTAATAATTTTAGACATGTATGTTTGACTATTTACATATATTTACAAGTATTTTGAACAATTTCAAAGCATTTTATATATATTGAATATTTTAATATACATTAAATCTAAAATAATTAATATATATAGGTATATAAATCTCATTCGGATATATTCGGGTACCCGAAATACTTCGGTTCAGGTCGAGTTCGGTTTCGGTTCCTTAAATACCAAAATTTTGAAACCCACTCGAATATTGAATCAGTTTTGACTCGGATTCGATACTATTTTTCGGATCGGGTTCGGTTCGGTTCTTCAGATCCGGGTTTTTTGTCCAACCCTAATCTAGACGATTAAAAAACGGTTGCTTCTACACTATCCAAAACCAAAATTGTAACTCCAAAAGATTATCATTAATGTGCGTGGAAAATCGTCTTGACATCCGGTACGACACTTGCATTGTACCGACAATCTTAGTATATTAACATTAACTAGCTTTTGATCCGCGCGCCTGTGCGGGTGTTTTGTTTTAATCATATATTTTAAATATTTTAAAAGACGATAAATTTAATTTTTATGTTTTTTTATATTGTAGCGTCATATGTTATTTAGGATTGACATTGATATGTCTTGTTCAATGTGGTTAGTTTTCACTTATAAATTATGATATTGTGTTTTTCTTTATTATACCTATTTAGATTATTTGGCAAAACAAACATTAAAATGTAAGAGATTTTCTAAATTTCAAAAAT